GTGCTTGGCAAACCTGAAGGATATGTTATTGTTCATGTTTCAGGAGGTCAAAAATTATTGTTTGCTGGTACAAATGATCCAGCTGCACTTATGGAACTTACCTCAATCGGATTACCAACAAATCAAACAGCCAAAATTAGTAAAGAAATTATGAGTCTTTTTGAAGAAAAACTTAATATTAGTGCAGATCGAATGTATTTGAAATTTACAAACGTAACTGGCAATATGATGGGTTGGAATAAAGGAACATTCTAAAGTTTTATCTACTTGTGCTCACATAATAGATCAAACATTGTCTAAGTCATATCCTCTTCTTTTTCTCCTTTCTTTTCTCTCACGTTTTTTTTCTCTTATTGTCGTTATCTACATAAGCACATGTATTCCACTCTTATTCGTGTGTGTGTATTCAGAACCAAATAATAAAGTTACATTGATCCTTAACAACAAAAACGTTCTCAAAACCAATCGATGATTGTACTTCTTACATAAATTGTAAAGGTGATTTAGTTATAAAATTATTAATTGAAAGCTAATTATATCGGATGATATTGGACTTTAGAAGAAATAAAAATTGTTTGCATGTTCACTTTCTCTATGAATTTTATGATAATAAAATATATGGACGTAAAACATATTTTATTCAGCTCAGGAATCGTATCATTTCTTTATTAAATTGATATAAAATACAAAAAAACTTCATTATACACAGCGCATATTTAACTTATATTAAATCTACTAGTTAAATTTTAGGAGAGAAAATCTTTAATGAATTCTGTTAGTCCAAATATCTATCAAACTTTTAACCGATGTATCATAGACTAAATATTAGAGACTGTCTCAACATTGTAAAAATCATTTTTTTTTTGTTGTTGAATAATCTATTAATTAAACTTTTATCTTTTAGATCGTTATATTTAATGATCAATTTTCTAATGAATAACTTCGTCATGTCATATATCAATGATGTAATTCATCCTGGTTTCATTGATAGAAAAAAACAATTGAATAAATAAAATAGTTTTTCTTCATTAAAAAAAATCATGGTCGTTGGTTTTTCATGATTAGTTAAAATGCATTAAAAATATTGAATTTAATTTAACAGACAACAAGTAACTGAAGTGCACAAATTATTTGTTCCTTAATGTTCTTCAATAGATTAAAATTGAATTATGTTGAAATCATTTAGAAGCATAAGATGAAATCTAGCAACTAGAATCATTTTTCTCTTGATATCTTATTTTGTAAATATTTTCCCTTGCAACAAGAAATGAAGAATTATTTTTGTTTGTATACTTCACATTACATTCATATAGGATTAGAAATTGTATGACAAGATAGCTATCATCGCTAATAAAATGATACCACAACAGTACGAATAATAATAAGAAATGATTTGTTTTTTAAAAGCATCGTTTTCTCTTCCATTAAATACTAGATTCGATTTTTTTTATTTCGTTCGTTTTTACATGATACTTTCATAATAATTTTTCTAATGTCTGTCACGAACAACATGAAATTGAAACCATCATCAATGACCATAAATTCAACCAATATATTCAAATCTTGAAGGTTATACATTCACAAACTAATCATATCTTTTCTACTCATCTAAATAAAAAGCTGGAAAAAAAAGTGGTTGAATTTATTAATATAGCGAAAGCAAAATTTGAATCAATTATTGACTAACTGAATCATTAGTAATCGACTATGTTTTTTTATAATGATGGATTCCTCTAGTATGTCTACAGAATAAGTAGTAGAATGTAGACGAAGAGTTAATGCTTCATTACTCAACAGACTATATAAAAAAAGAGGTGAAATAAGTATCCTGATTGTTTTATAAGCATAGATTATTCTAGGCAATAAACGATGCATACACGAATGTAAAAAGAAAAAGTTTCATAAATCCGATTAAACTTGATTTTTCTAGTATTAATTGATTAGATTTAAATTTAATTCTTTTTCTTAACAATATGTTTCATATAGGACGAATTCATTTTAATAAGTTTTACATCTCAAAAGTCAATTTCATCAGTTTGTTTTTACATTTTTTTTCTCTACAGTTTCAGATTGTCAGAACACGTTAGTTAATAGTGATTGAATAAACTCCACACTCTTTTCTCGAAACCTTACAGTGCATTTGTATTCAAAGGCATAAAAAAAAAACATTAAAAAAAAATAAATGCTCCGTTTTTTTTTTTACGACCATATCCTTTTTTTTATCATCGATTACGACTGTTATTATTCAGTATTTTCATTCTTTCGTGCATGAATATGCAATGCCCTTTTCTCTTCGTTATTTTTCAGTTTCACAAGGAAAGAAAGAATCAATTGAGGAGTGCATTCATCCTGCCTCAAATGTGTATAGTCAACTACTTAAAAGAGAGTACTAGGCCCTGAAAATAGAGAATGGAAAAAGACTAAAGTCAATAAACGAAAGAGAGAGAAAAAGAGAAATGATGCACCTATGTATTCGTAAAGGCATCTCTCATATTAATATCATCTAGTTGGCGAACGGATTTTTTTTCTCATATACTCGAACTGATAACATAAATCCTCAACACATCGAATATACAGAAAAACAAATGAGTATGAAACCTGATGTCATACGTTCATTTCAACCATCAAATGAAACAATTGGTGAGTCAAAATGAAACCACACATTTAAAGAAAATGAAAAATGACCTTCATAAACTATTGTTTGTGTTCTATTTATTTAAATTGTTTTGATACGACAGATATCGAAAAAGAGTATCTTTTTTTTTTCACTTTTTTTTGAAGATGAAAACTACTTGTTTTTTGTATTCATTAAAAATTTTTATTCGATCGTAGTTTGAAAAAAGTCGTCAATTCAACATTGTGATCACATTGAGGCAGATGTACAGTAATGACTGACGAGAAAGTATATGAAAATAATGACTTTTCCTGCAGCAATTACTCGACATCTTTCAAAACATGATCAATTTTCATTAGGTCAGATTTCAAAGAAAAAAACGTTGCAATCTTAAACTGGCGGATACTTTTTTTTTCAGATTCAACTCATAGCGGAAAGAGGAATCCCTTAAAGAGTGACAATGACATCCTAAAATATGCTGTAAATCGTTGGTTAATATCGCGTAGAAATTCAACAATCCTCATTTTTGTTTTCTTGAATTCTTTGCGTAATGTTTTTTTGTCTAACAGAATATATCGAACTGTAGATGTCATATTTTTCTTAAAACTTCTTACTATAAAGTTTTACGTTTTATTGAAGAAAGTCCTGTAATGCTAGACGAAAATTATTCATTACAATATCTTCCTATCTTTTTTTCTTATTTGTTCTCATAAAATGAGATTTTAATAAATTTAATTTACTCTTACAAAACATTGATTTCTTCACATCATCCCAAATCAATAGATTCCCATTGGAAAACTCAGAAAATCAGAATTTCGATAGAAATATTTATATCTTCAATTAATAATTACAAAATTCTATTAAATCATTTTCTTTGATTAGGTTTTGAAAAAGCATCACGACTATTAATGGTTGGTGGTGGTTGTTTATTAATCGTTTTGATATTTGGTATTATTCTCTGTCGTTTAGATATGTCGGCTGGCAGGAGTAAGCCAAAAATAAATGTTTTATTATTATTTTATATTTCTTTTTGTTTTTATTTTTTGCTAATATTAGAACGACGAGCACAGAGTTTTCATCAAGTTGAAAGTTAAAAAATTAAATCCTCAGAAGCAAAAACAATTCAATAAATAATTTTTTCTTGTATTAGTTCTACTTTTTATCTTGCTAAAAAAAAATAAATTAGTTAACATATCTATTTTATTTTCTTCTTTTTCTTTTTTCTCTATGTTGCTGTGACGAATGTTATTATACATCATCATCATCATCAAAAAAAAACAAAAAAAAAAATTAATAAAAACACAAATTTACAAAAGCCATAATTTTGAATAAATACTATCTATCCTTTTTTATATTGTGATGTAATGCATATTTCAATTTCTTAATTCGTTTGTTTGATATTAATCTTGATTTAACTAAAGTTTTTTCGAGCAATATTTGATTCAATATTGGCCATTGTATATAAGTGTTTGAATAAATAATTTTCATTGTTCTTTTTATTTTGAAATTTTTATATGCAACACTCTGTCTTGCATGCATGTCGTTTGATCTTTTTCGACACATGCAGACGGTGTTGCATAATCCTCAGCTTGGATGTTTTTTATAATAGCTATAAAAAAGATCATAATCAACCAAGAAAACAATTTGATAATCAATACGATCATAATCAGGATATAAAAATAATTTACGTTGAAGATCAAGACTTGTTGCTGCCTATCAAAATTGACAGTTTATTTATAAATAGTTGAGAAAAAAAAGAAAGAAAATTTTTTCTTACCGTTCCACCAAAAATAGTTGTCGTAAATTTGCCTGGATTAAAAATTTTTAAAATTTTACGAATTATTTCTTGATATTGATTGTATGAAACATTTGTTTCAAAACTAACATATGAAAAATTAGGTTCTGGTGTTATATGAATTGTAAAATAATGACCATCAGACAATAAACCATTCATTGAATAACCACAAGGATCAAATAAATAATCAAAAATTTTTGCATTTGGAAATAATTTATCAATGCCGGCTTTCTAAAAAAACAAAAAAAAAATTCAATAGAAAATATTTCAATAATGAAATTTTATTTTATTAAGATTATGTACTTTTGTTGCTTCAGTAGCTGAATTTGTATATTCTTGATAGAAGATTTTCATCTTTTCTGGATCTAATTCAGTCATAATGACTTCTAATGTTTGATCGGATTTTGCATTAACACGAGTTTTATCAAGTGTATACAAATACCTAAACAATAGAAACAACTATTCAATCATAATTTTTATCATATGCAATACACCCTACAGATTTTTATAGTATCATGTATTTTCTCTTTTTGATGCATAGCAAAAAGATATATGAATATTAAATCCGAAAAAAGAAAATTTTTTTTCAAAGTACGTGAAAATATGAAAATTTCTTTGCCTTTGAATATATACAAAAATAATTAAGAACACAATGTATAAATTCAAAATACTAAAGAAATTTTTTGAGATTCTTTTTTATTGGTAAAATAATAAGTATTCTAGGATTGTAAACAGATTACTATTGTTTTATGTTTGAATATTCGAACGATAATCAAAAATTAATTATTAGTAATAGTTTTCATAAAATTCAAATAAACTTAATAAACGTTCTAATTTTACTGACATTCAAAAAAAAAATTAATTGATCTCGCCTATATATGTCTTTGGTGTTCATACTAAACTAATGATTAGTTGAACTCACCAACAATCAACATTAGAACGACCAAGAACATAGGCGCAACCTCCTGGACGAAAAATTGAAAAATTACATAATAATATTATGAATCATTATTTACCTTCGAAGATTGAGTCAAGATAAACAATCTAGATATAAGTAAAATAAAATCTTTTTATTTTAAAATAATTTCATAATTATTAGTCATATACTTCATGATCGAAACTTGTATGTGGTACTTTTTGCAATTCAGGTCGAAGAAATTTACGACGACTATAGAAGACTTGCTAAAAAAACAAAACGTTAAGTAAATCAAAGATAATTTTTTTTTTTATATGAAAATAAATAATTATGATTTCTATTTACATCAACTATATCGAATCCACAATAATCTCGTGCTAGTTCCAACATTGGTTGAACAGCATGAAGTAATGTTGTTTCACCACATGTTTTTAAAATAAAATGTGTTTGAAATATAAACATGCTCGATTCACTTAATACATAAGTATCTGTTGTAGATGATTGTGCATATTTAAGAACTTTACAATTAACCAAACTTAATACTTCTTCAATAAGATCCCTTTACAAAAGAGAAAAACGTATCATTTAAATTATAATCAAATCGTTAATTATTACCGTGGTATGCTACGTAAATCATTAGATAGTGTATCATTATTATTACTTGTAGTAAACCAAATTTCTAATAATTTTTCAGCTCCTTCAAAAAAATGATCAGTCATTGTATTCATATATCTTACGAAGTAGTTTGCTATTGAGCGACAAACGACTGCAGTTGAATAATAATAGGTTGTTTTTAAAAATGTAATGCTGTGCGATTTGCTTTATATATGCGGTATGAAATTAATATTCAACCATTTTTCTCTCTCTCTCTCTCTCGTTTTCTACTATTCTGCATCATCAATCATCATGAGTCAGAACGCAATGATTGCAAAATGACTCCTGTAAATCGTCGACGGAAAAAACGGATCTCCTTTATTTGGACTATTGGATTCTCTTTATTATTTTTCTTTCTTAGCTGAAAAAAAGGGAAGAAAAAGATATAGCCCGCTCATACATAGAAACGCAAAAAGAAACACGTCATCAATCGTTATCTAAGACATCTTCGATTAGTCTTATTTCTATATCTTTATTTATGTATACCATTCAAGTGAAAAAAGAAAAATCAAATTTTTTGTTTTTGTTCCATTGCAATCAACCTTCTATCGTCATGGAACCATATCATTTTACATATTCAATTGGCAAAGAAGAAAAAAGAATGAATATATACTAATATAAATGACAAAAACAAAATATTGTGAGTTGTTTGTTTTCTGACGTATGTATTTCTTGACGTCATAGTTCGCCTGATGGCTTGAATTTACTTCTAATCGATTAGACAAAACTAAATGGGAATTTCTTTGTTTTTTTGTGGAAATTAATATTATTCATCAAAAACAAAAAAAAAACAGAAACATTCATGAGTACATTTGTATTTGATACCAATTCATCAAGTAAGGTGTCCATTGAGAATATAAGTGCAAGAGAATATTAAAAAAAAAAAAAAAAAGAAAGAAATGAATGACTAGCTAGTGCACACAAATTAAAAAATCCTATATTTACAAAGAAAAAAAAAAACGCAAGAGAGAATATCGGACAACAACATTCTCATAATTGAGAGATAAAATGAAGTAAGAAAAACATCACATGCGTGAACCACGTTCTTGTAAAATCTAGAAAATAAAAGTTTTTTCTTTTACATATTATTTTTTTTTGTTTTACTTTAACACGTTCAGATACAGAAGTATTATTATCTTCTCGTGTTCCTCGATCATATTGTTTTGAAACAATACATAAAAATTCACCTTCAGGATACATATAACTTGAACCAACAGGTGAATGACCAATTAGCTAAATAAAATTTTTATATATAAATAATTTACTTTTTAAGAAATGAATTACCTGTTCAAATTTCCATCCATCACTTAATGATGACATTAATTGTGTTACTTCTTTTTCTTGACATTGTATTACTCGATAAACACGATTTGTTGTACACTAAAAATAACATTATCAATATGTTATTGAGAATAAATAAAATGTACCGAATAAAAACATGACAAAAAATAAAAAATCATATTTATTCAACTACGTAAAAGTCCAAGTCAATATATTATGAGATCAAAATTAATGCATAATTTTTCTTTTGTTTAGTGTTGACAGATAAAATCAACATGTACGAAATATGTTTTTTTTTTTCAAATGAATGTATAAACAGTTACTGAGAAGCCTTTGAAATAGCTAAGCACTGAACTTTTTTTTTCTAATTATTCATTTTTTTTATATCTCATCGTATTTGAGCGAATAGTTTTACTTGAGAAAAATGATTTGTTTCATCTCTTAAATCTCATGGATTGAGCCTACGCTAACCTATACAAAGAATATAGTTTTGAGAAATGTTTTAGGATAAAGTGACTCTCATCCTTGGTTTCGTCATTACTCAGATTGACGTAATATATTCTTTGTATTTTATATATGAAAGCTTTTTTCTCTTTAAAACTCCATTAGATGTCAAAATATTAATATTAGTGAATCGGCTTTACAAGACATATTGAAAGATACTTATTTTTTAAGAATCTACGTTGTATTATTGATAATCTGACTTTAAATCTTGGAAATGTATTGAAATAGAGAACACAAAGAAGAATAGTTTTATAATTCATTTTTTTTTTTTTGTTATACGAAAATTTTTCTATTGAATTTAGAAAAATAAATAGATTACTTTTAAAAATCTATCAAATTTATAATTTTTCTATTTAAATAAAATCAAAACTTACATCATTATATTTTCGTCTATCTCTTTCACGAATTCTTTCTTTAACAAGATCAATTAATGGTCGTATATTATAAAATTCAGCTTCTTCAAGTACACCTTCTTCAACAAGATTTGTTTCAAGAATTAATTTACCATGACGAAGATAACTATATTAATATTATAAATATAAATTTATAAAAAACAAAAACAATAAATTTCTCTTACTTTAATACAACATTAAAATAATTTGGATCACGATCAATTAAATAAGCTCCTTTATCATCCTATATATATCAAAAAACAAAACAACAACATGACTCATTAATTAAATTTAAAAAAATAAAAACACATACGACATCAGTTTTAAGATCAGGTTCATATTGACAAAGACGACAAAGAAATGATTCTTCTTTTGATAATGTTGAACGTGTTGTCATAAAATGTTTACCACCAACATTTAATAAAACCCAATCACGTTTAGAATTTGATGATACTGTTGAATTTAATATTGGATGAGAATCGTTACTAGAATTGGAAATTTTATCACCATTTTGTTGACTTGAAAAATTGTCATTTGTCAGCATTTTTTTTTTTTCATCAAACAGAAAAAAAAAACAGCACAAGAATGAAAGATATTATCTAGACGTTCGAATAATAGAAAAAACACAATATATATGCCTTCTAGAGTGAACATTTATTCATTACAATATATTATATCCAATACGATTTTACTAGATGGCAGTAGTCAAACATAGAAATTAAATGAACCGAAGTATTTGAAAATAGAATCTTCTGGTTCATTATATATATATCGATTTATTACATACGTGTACGAGTGTTTGGCGAAAATAAGAGCTAATATAAATTATTAATTTCTATATATATATATGTCCTTGTATGACATACAAAGTAGCAAAAGCATACCTATGTTTTTTTTTAATTTTACGCTCTAATATTAGATATTGCCATATTCGAAACAATGATTGGCTGCTTTTACCAAATGAAAGCAATTTTCTTTCTTTTGCCTACATATATATATATATATATATGTGTGTGTATATATATTAATATCTTGATAACTTGACAAATCAATTACGACTGTCTTTCAATATTAGTGACATCAAAATATTTCTATCGGCATGGATATGTTTTATAGATTTGAAGAATTTTTTAATGATGATTCTTTCGATGATATTCGAATACCATATGCTGGACAGATTCCACCACCTGGTTATACTCTAGTTCAAGAATCCATAACATACTATCATCCCTATTCAGATCCTAATATGTATCCTCCAATATATAACTATTATTCATATTGATGTCTGTTTGTTTGTTCTTTTTTTTTGTATTACAAAATTATTATAAAACAAATAAACACAAAAAAAAAACAAAAAATATGTAATTGCTTGTCTAGATAAAAATATATGTTGCTCGTCTAGGTATAATACATTATTTGATTCATAAAGAAAACAAAATTCTTTAGTCAATATGATCTGGTAATGAAGCAACACCATCAGTATTCGATGATGATTGTTGAAGAATTTTCTGAAGCATATTTATAATTTCCATATTATATTGTGCAACATCTGTTGCTGCAAAGCCAAAATCAAGAAAACCATGTGGCCATTCATCGATTACAGTTAAATGATGAGAAACTTGAAGATTACGTAATCGTCGTGCAAATTCAATATTATCATCAATAAATGGATCTCGAAAAAACAAGAGATCTTAATTATAATTAAACTTTTCATTATTTAATTAAAACTTACCACGTGCGCATGGCTAGAATATAAAAAAAAAAGAAAAAAAAGAAAAAAAAAGAAAAAACAGAATTATATTATTTATATTTAAAATATGGTACCTTCTTTTTTTTATCTCGTTTTAAAAAAAAAACAAAAAAAAAAAAAAAAAAAAAACAAGGAAAAATAAACATATTAAAAGATTTATTCATCGATTATATCTGTAGATATTGATATTGGAAAAATTGGATTTGTTAATGGTGCTAAAACTTTTTTTTTATCTTGTTTTTTTTTTTTTGATGATAATGAAAATAATGTTCCATGAATATGAAATCGTCGTGCTAAATCATTCATAATACGATCAGCTGTTTTTTTACAATCATTATTTGCATTATAAAAATTTAGAAAACCATGTGTTACATTATGTACAATAACCATATGATGTTCAACTGATAGTGAACATAAATGACGTGCAAATGTTATTGAATCATCCAATAAAGGATCTTGATGACATGCCTGAAATGTTTAAGTATTTACAACAAAAAAAAAAAAGATTCTTTTTTTATGAAAAAAAATAACACAAATTCGATGATTTTTGATTAGAAATAATATAACTAAAAAAATAGTAATAAATATCAAAAACAAAAAAAACTAACTTACAATAAGATAAGTTGTTGGAAATTGTCGTAGAATATCATCGGATGCACGTAATGGTGACATATATGGATTATTTGGTAAGGTTGATTCACGTAATTTTCGAAGAAGATATGCTTGACGTGAACCCATTATAGCACCTGATAATATACATATAGATTAGAAATAGAATGATATTTTTTCATTTTTTTTGTTTAAATATACTTAATCGAGAATAATATGTATCTCCTCGAAGATATTCGGAATCTTTTGGAATTTGTTCATTTTTGGAAGAATTATCTGATTGAGGTACAATTTGACCGGGTGATGATGTAATTTTGTCAATTTTACGTTGTTTTTCAGATGAACTATCATTCTGATTAGGAACTGTAGCAGATTCTAATTCATCATGAGGAGGTTGATCATCAGATTTAATACCAGCATAAGCAGCAAGACAACGCCAAAGAAAACCAGTATTTAATAATGGATCCATAATTGCCATCAATCGAGATGGTGACATACTAAATTATAAAATTTTTCTTTTTAAGAAATGTACAGTAGT